TTTTTATTATTATTACCATATAATAACTCTATCGAAGAATGCATTTAAATGGATACTAAATTCATAAATATTCAATTATTACAACTCTAACATAAAAAAAAAAAATAAGTGTTAGATGGTGCTAATTTAATGATTATTTTTCTTCTTTTTTTCCGATAAAATTAATATCCCATGAATCTAAGTCAAAATTACAAATCTAAGTACTAAAATTTGTAATATAATTTATTTGAATTTGAAGTTCAAAAACGATCATTGAAAATATTATTAATATTTTAATTTTTTTTAAAACAAAGAATATTTCATAAATTTAATATATTTTCACACCGCGCATAGCGCGGCTAAGTTCACTAGTTATTACATAAAAGTGAGGTATAATTAAAATATATATTACTCCTAAAGGTTAATTAAGCTTCGCTGTAATATATAATTATTGCTAAAACCGAGTTAATTTAAAATGTCATGATAATGGTGGTTAGTGAGTTTAATTAGCTGTGCACGGGTTGGACTGAGAGGCATCCTATGATAAATTTTATTTAATTAATCAAAAAGCATGATTCCCCCATCTAGTGGGAATAAATTAATAATGATGACATGTTATATCATTTTATAAAGTTCAATAAGAAAGGGTTAATTTGTTTTTCTATATTCCATTAATGGTTCTCAAAAGTTGATCAATTAGTACATCTTAAAAGTAAAAAATAATGGAAAAAAAGGAAAATAAAATATTCTTTATTTTGATTATCATTATTTCCTTTTTATCAATTCATCTTACCTAGTTTCATTTTAACAATAATAATAAACATCTCTCAATTTTAAATAAATTAGAATCGGTTATAAGCATTCTACCTATAATAGTCGTGACATTCATTATATCAGTATATTGTAAAATTTCCAAGTCTAAATTATGGAAAAAAAAATCTTTTATCAAATTCATTTTCCACACCAACACTTTTTATGTTGCTGATTGGGGAATATATGACACTTTTTTTTCATTTTGATACGTCAGAAAATACAACATCTGATATTATTGCATGAACAATGTTCGTTTACACGTCTTATAAGCTTCAATAATTTAGACTAATCTTTCTATATATCTACCCTAGCTTACTTTCAATCAATAATTTTTTTTTTCTTAAAAAAAAATATTTCCTTCTACCACGACTATATATATAACTTATGCATCAAAGTTCACACATGCATGCATGTACCGCATTTAACAAATGGCAATTTACCGACATGGGTTGTGGCGCAGTGGTGGGACTGCTACACCCTTAACTAGAGGTCTCAAGTTCGAGCCATGGAGAAAATCTTGTTGGAAGCACCACCCTTGAATGAACTCTGCAGTGCGCCGCTGAATGAACTCTGCAGTGCGCGATCCAAATTTAGTCAGGGCTCCAATATGAGGAGAAAAAAAAGGCAACATAAATCCATGAACATGAAGGTCAAATCAAAGATATACTAAGGTAATTGTGATGTTTTAATTTAAATAAATTTGCATGGATTTCAATCTTCAAGTCACAGTCTTCAGAATATATTTTAGGGCAGAATAGATAATAAGGAAATGTGTGCAATTTCTTAAGCAAATGTAATTGGTACATTCTTTCTCCATTGAACGATTAAATTTAGACATAAGAATTAAAAACATGTTTTTTCTTATGATCAATTGATAGTCAATGTAAAATTTGTTAATTCATGATGAATCTTCGTAATAAAGATTCGAAAAGGGTTGGAAAATTTAAAGAGTACAATATGCTTAATTCTTGAAAAAGACTACTAATTTTTCATTATGCAGTTTCTTAAAGCAATCTAAAATGGTGTTACTTAAAGTAATCTGGCGTAAATTACTCGAATGGTGTTACACGAGTCTCTTTGAGTCAAATAAACCCACACATACGTATTTATATATGAGTTCAATTAATATACTGTAATAGTATATATATTATAAAAACTACATTTTCAAGTCACTTTTTTCAAAAAAAATCTAAATAACTTTTATAGCATCCATAAATTAAATGGGCAACCATGTGCACTGCTATTTTGCAGGATCCGAAAGAATTGAATCATAAGGATCTATTCTCGCATATAATTGATTTCTTTTTGTTTGGTATAATGGGGGTATAGGCATAATAAACAAAAAGAATTTTATTATTTTAGATTGGTAAGTAAATAATTAGAAAAAACCAAAAGGAACAAATGATAAATGAGTTTAATTAAGTTAGATTATAGGAAATAATCCATTATTAGGCCCCGCCACTCTAAACTGCAATCGAGTTGGGCTGTAAGGATAAGGCCGGACTCCTCTAGTCTCCATCCAACTTTACACATTGTGACAGCTCACCAGCCCTCATCTTTTTCTTTTTCAATCGAGTATTTAATATTTACATTAAAGTTCGATTAAATTCAAACTCGTTGATTAAAGATGAAGGAGTACTTACTATTTCACCACAACTTTGTTGGTCACCCGTCATCATCTACCATGCTATTCAAACATAATAACCTACATTCTAATTAACAACTTGGATGATTTTTACGTATCGTTTTATAATGGTTGTATTATTGTATTATATATTTTGATGAATGTAATCTTCAGATAAATTGTATCATTTTGTGTTATTACACGATAGCATACATCAACAATCTAAAGGAAAAATCTGAAGAAAAGTAGAATATTGATAGAGCTAGCTATAATTAAAGAAGGTTGGATAAAAGATAAATTAGAATTATAAACTAATTACAAGCAAAAGCAAAATGAGAGATATAAAATAATGTAACGACGTGATCACGATCAATCATTCGTCACATGAGATATTTTTTGTATCGCTACATAACGGTGAATTTACTATACAATAAATTAAATTTAAATAACAAACAAAATAAATATTTTAGTATACAAAACAATATACAATAGGCAACAACTATCCATATACACAAGCTGATTTCTTGACCTTGAAAGAAACAGATACATTTCTCACTTGGATATATGTTTTGTTTTACTTTTTGTTTGTGAGAAACTAGTTGAACATTGGAATTTTCTCTTCTTCACATAAAAGTACATAAACGAATTAAAATATTAGAAGTGCATTCTTTGTAAATTTTTGAGCGATGAACAATCTCCTTTCCCTAAACTTTGAATTTATTACATTTTTTCCTTACTCATCTGGGCTCTCGCTTGAATCTGAACTTTATATCATTACTTTATCTCACACAGCTTTACCAGCCAATATCTACCTACACATGCTCTGAAGCTATTGTTTGCAAGACCATTTTATTGGGCATATCGGAAAAATATCAACCTCTACCTACACATGCTCTGAGGCTATTATTTGCGAGACCATTTTATTGAGCATATTGGAAAACTATCAACCTAAAAGAATTACTAGTTTGATCATTTGTGGACTAATATTACAGCAAAATAAAAATGACAGCTGTGGGATTTGAACCCACGCCCTTTCGGACCAGAGCCTAAATCTGGCGCCTTAGACCACTCGGCCAAACTGTCTTTGTTGTATAGGTTTCTTAAAAAATATATTATAAAAAAAGTATTTTAAGTATGCACTTTACTGATAAACATGATTCTAACAACCCAAGTCCAAGATTAGTAGTATTTGGAGAACCAGATTTACTAAACTAATAACTAAGATTTACACATTCAAAAACTACATAGAAATAAATTATAAGAACAATTATTTATATTTAAAAGTTACATCAAAAGTGTTAATAAGATTCCAAAGAAATAACAAGGGAATGATCCAATTCTTTTTGGGACAAGGGAATAACAGAATGATAATTTATAACATCGATTTTCCATTTACTATACCTAAGTAACTATTATTAGAAAAACAAATAATGTCTTATATTTAAGCTGAGAGTCTATCGAAAACAATATAGAATTATACGGAGCATGGTGTTGTGATAGTAGTATTACCATCACGGCATTAGAAAAAGAACAAAGGTGTGAATTGCAAACACAAACAGGATTCTCCTTGTAAAATCCTGATCCAAGTTTCAAGCAAAAACAAATGTCGAAATATTCAAACAGCGGCTTAGTAAGTTTACAACAATAACATTACTAATACTGAGAAGTGAGAACTTAAGAAAAAATATGATACACTTCACATTGGGATTGGGGTCCTGGGGATAATTTTGGTCACCCAGGATAACATAATAAGATACATATTCTGGAATTTCCTATGCCTTAGCAGAATCTGATCTGTTGCAATTAGGCAAGCATCGCGACAAGTTAAAATTCCGAGGGGGCTGGTAGGATTGGAAAAAATCAGGATCCTGCTCAAGCGCCTCCGCATAACTTTCAAGAACAGTTACAATCTCCTCAAAATGTGGCCTCTTGTGAGGATTGTTTGCCCAGCACCGTTTAATGAGTTTCCGAACTGCTGATGGACATGCAGCAGGTATTGGTGGTCTTGCTTTCTGCAAAATTCCAACCAATATGAGAAAATCCCAAAATTTCTCTCTTACAGAGAATGATGCATGATACTGCAAAAAATATTTAAGCAAAATTATTTGTTCTAATGCAACTTTATGCAAGAGAAGCAACTTCCTACACTAATTTTCCCAATACAATGTATGTGGAGAAGCTGTAAATGGGCTTATAGCTAAGTTGAAACTTAAAACAATAATGTGGAAGCAGAACAAAGGCATAAAACTGATTCACGATTAACCAGCAAAGCAAAGATCACAGCGTCAACAATTTCCAACGTGCATGAGAAACCCTCGAGGAGGAACAAGAGCAGATGTCCTATGAATTGGACAGTCAAAAGATAACAGAACACATGTAAAATATGGAATCATGTTCACTCCGTCTCCATATCCTTTAGAGTGGGGTGTTTGAAAGACCAATATATATCCCCACAGCATTTCAAATTAACACTGTTTGAGCATAAAAATAGAAGAAATATCCAGAGACCAACAGACCGAGATAGTCACTTAACGGGTTGCAATTTTATTAGTAGAGTGCATTAAGCAGCAGCAGCAATGTTCGGAACATTAACCCTCACACCTCAAGTTTACTTTGGAACCTATACCCGAGGAATCTGATAGATTAGCAGGTGATACAGAATACAGGCAGAACAGACTTTATCTAATCCTCCACCACAGGCTACAATGGCTTTTTGTTGTGAACGATAGGGCTCCTGCTGAGGTGGACGCACAAGCTAGTAGGGATATTTTGGGAAGAGGTCAAAGGATCAAAATACCAAATGCTAGGTTGGCAGACTATGATTGGAATCATGGTTAAACGTTGGTGGTATTAGAGTTAGCAAAAGGACAAGGGCAATTAGTTATAAGAGCAGAGTAGTGGGACGTGAGAGGGCAGCCTGATGTTGATGCACTCTCTGTTATTCTCTCATCTCCATTCCTATTGTCTAACCTCTCATCCCCCTTCTAGATCTATCTTTTCTTTTGCTGCAATTTTCCCCTTTTCAGTTGTAATTTCCTTGTTACTGTTCTATTGAAATCTAGTTAATTCTTGTGCTAAAATCTGCTTCGCTCCACTTTTACTTCTACATTTGTCTTATAAACTAATACTTGTTCCAGTTACTCAAGTATACCTCTCTATATCTCTTTCCAAAGGAAACAAAACAATCATGGGCCTCATTGTTCTTATAGAAACAGAAACTTCTGCCAGTTAGAAGAGTTCCCAATGGTAAAATATACAGTAGTAGATTATTCAACAAGTTTTCTAAAGGAGTGATGTTAAAGGAGACTATGTTGATTTGCTCAAAATATCCCTGGGAGAGGATAGAGATGTCGATGATCAAGAAGGCGAGAAAGAAAAAAAGATGAGAAGAATAGAACAACATTAACACAAAGCCAACATATTAATAGATCACTTTTGACGAAGAAAGGAATCAAGAGGCTCATCAATTCCAATAGCTATTCACTTGTTGGAAACACTATCCAAGTTTTAGAGCCAAACATGTCTGGAAAAAAACACGATGATCCTAACATAAGAAGGAAAGAAACAAAAGAAAGTAGATAGACTGATCCTATTGAAGAGATTCATTTTTAGAGATTGACATAAGATTTAACAAGAGACCGACAGCCCAGATATGAGAGAACTTCAAAAAACATAATCACAAGATGAAGCAATTTGCACGCTAAGATATTTCACGCTGCAATTTTTTTTTACAAGTATTTCAAGGATTATTTCATAGCATAGACGTAGATTTTCTCAATCTTTTGATATGCAATAGTAAATGCAACTCAACAATATCTCTTCTTTTTGCATCTTAATTGTCTTTCTCAAGTCATCTTCCAAGCCAGAGAGAGAACATTGACTTACTGAAGTGAGTCTCAAGGTAACCTCGGTATATATCTAAAGGAAAACCACCGAAACAAGAATAACAAATGTAACATAAAATGACAATTCGGAATGAGTACGTCAAACATATAGAGATTCATGGGATTTAGCGGAACAAATTCAGATCCAGAGACATTTGAAATAGTAGGCTATTTATCTTGACGAAGACCAATATGCCATGGTGGACAGAGAATATACCTTCTGGCAGACTGCAAAGGCCGCCTGCTCGGGGGTCATGTCATCAAATGGTGTCAATGCAGTCAAAAGTTCCCATAGGACAATACCGAAACTATACACATCAACCTTCTTTGTGTGGTTCTTTTCCTGGATCATTTCTGGTGCCATCCACCGGTATGTACCGGTGAACCCCTTTGCACTACCACATTGAGATTCTAAACATGATATCCCGAAATCTGCAACTTTCACACACATATCCTCATCAAGGAGTAGATTTTCCGATTTCAGATCTCTGTGAAGTATCCCTTCGGCATGAAGATACTGCATCCCATGTGCAATGTCAAGGGCCAATTTCACAACAAGATTGAGAGAGACGGAGTACGGCTCCTGCTGATGGAGGTACTTTCTAAGGGAGCCTCCAGGTACGTACTCGGTGATAATGCAAAACACTGGTGGTTTCTTACATGCTGCAATAAACTGCATTTGAGAGCCAGAAGAAATGGAACAAGTCAAAACAAGTGGCAATTTCATGCATTACGGAAAGACATGTTTTCAGATGATAACTATTTACCAATAAGTAGTTATGATAAATCAAAATATGCCAACAAATCCCTAATCAACAGTATGTTAAGAAATTCTGATAGACGTATTTCAAAGATGGTACTCTAAACATGAAATTCCTGCAGGCAGCACAATCATATCTCTTTACAAATCAAGGATGAGGGAGCTGATCTGTAGATTTCAAGTTTGACATACTGGAAAAAGGTAAATGTGTTAGGTTCTACGTCACTTGGATTCTTCAAAAAAAGTCAGTTGTGTGTCGGATCCCCAAAAGTTGTTTATTTTTGGAGGATCTGACATGGGTGTGGCAGCATTTTGGAGGATCCGAGCAACATAACTTAGGTTGTGGACAACAACTTGATCAGTTTATGGATTAGTCATGTACTTGGTGCTTTTATTGAACAAAAAACCGTGATAAATGCTTGCATCTTTTTATGCCAAATTGCCAACAATGGTATTGCGGCTACTTAAGAAACCATGTATGAAGTAGCAAATATGGAATCACTTGCCTTCTAATAAAAATACACCAATGAGTAAATATCTGTTCTTTTAAGTTCTTATTTTCCTGTTTGGTTCTGCTAGAAATAAATTTCCTAAATTATGAGTAGAAGCAACGTCACCTACGTAAAATAAGACTACATCCAGTGGCGAATTTACAGCCAAAAAATAGGGCATCTGCACCCGTGGTCTCTTCGTAAAATTATATATTTTATATGTATATTTTTTAAGATTTTGTATAATATTACATTCTTGCACCCGTACTACAAGAAGTCTAAATGGTCCACATGGTTAAATGTTGAGCTTTTGACCTTGAGGATTAAGGATCAATTCTCACTTCAATACATTTTACTTGATTCACTCATGTTTGAAAAATCCTAGATTCGCCTCTGACTACATCTATGTCAGTAGAAATATGGACCTGCCAAAGAACATAAAACGACAATTTTTTTTAAAAAAAGTTTATGACCGTGGTGTCTGGACCAGTTCTCGCACATCTCGACTAATTCCACGGGATACCACCCACCTTTCACCAGCAATAGATACAAGGTAACTCTGACCACCAAGGCTACAATAGATGGAAAGAATCACTTAGTAATTTTTTCTCTGCTGGGATTCAAACCTGAAACCTTGTGGTTTTCAACCACTTCATTGACCACTAGGCCATACCCTTGGGTGCATAAATGGATCATTTCTTGGCAAATGAAATAACATAGTATAGCCCTCCAGATGCCACCTTTAATTGAATTTCCATATTAGTTCCAGTATCCATTCCTCATTCATCTCCAAGATTTTTCCGTGGCTGAGGGTCAGAGCTAGCCAACTTATTGTACTCCGACCCCTTTCATGCCACGGCTCGTCAGGAGCAATAGGGACGAGGGTGAATAACTCCTTGGGACTACTACTCAAATGCAGTTATGCAAGGATGTCTCGGGATCTCATTAAAATCAGTAAGGTGAAGAAAGCCATCTTATTAGGAATACCATAGATTTATTACCCTCAGCACCCTTGGCAATCTAATTGCAGTACTTGAGAAGGAAAAGTCCCTTCACATGAAATGCTAATAAAATCTCTGCTTTTACTACCTTGAAGCAAAGTTTTTCAAATTTAAATTATGAAAAACACAAATCAATGAAAAACCAACACGAAATAAGAAACCATGCTTACAGTGATGATATTTGGATGCTTTAACCGAAGCAACAAAGCAACTTCAGAAGTAAACTGCTTCTCGAGAAAAGTAGCCAAATCTCCATCTTCTTCAGGTTGGCTAATAAGCTTAATAGCCACTTCCCCGTGCTTGTAAATTCCCCTATAAATCCTGCTATGCCTTCCTGAAGCAAATTTATTCCCAATATACAGCTGCGACATATCGGCACTCCATTCCTCCTCTCCTTCTCCCTTTATCGCCGCCCCTGATGATACTATATACTTGGACCATGACGCTGCTCGCTTGTACTCACCCAATGAAAGTCGCCTCTCTAATTTCCCATTATTCGCAATTTGCTTAAACCAATTGAAATTCTTCATAGTAAACCATCAAGTTCTCCGCCTCAAACCAGAAAAAAAACTCTTTGTATATAAAATACTCAACCGCCGTTACAGATTCTCCTAATTTTTAATAAATAAATTAAAAATAAGCTACATTCCAAAAAATAGAGTTACATTTTTAGTATGTGTCAGAATTAGTAATTAACCAGCTGGGTAGTTTTTTTTTTCTCTTTCAAAAATCAACTGTACATTTGTTGGAATTGAAATTGAGAAGAATAGTAAAGTAAGGAGTTCTACTTCGAAGAAAAGCTTGAAAGTAGAGCTTTCAGCGAAAAGTACAACAGTTTGAAGCGTGGAAAATGAGCTTAATTTTCTGTACTTTGAAGGCGTGAGTTGAGCAGGAAGCTGGAAAAAAAAGTGATAATGAGGAATGAGAAAGAGTTGGAGGTTGGTGAAGAGAGTGGCGGAGCGGCGAAGATTAACGGCGGAGGTGGTGGTGGAAATGCGGTGTTTTTTCTCTCTCTGTTGAGAATGAGAAAGCAAAAGCAGTGGGTATTACTAGAATACAAGAGCAGCAACATTCATAACGTGGGAAGATCCACTTCTGAGGAGACATTTCGGGTTTTCCTGATTGTGACCGCTAATATTCTTTTTCCCGACTTTACCCCTCATTATACCATCCGTCTCCCTTTCAAATGACAAAATAAATTAACTGAGAACTTTCTCTCCGTTTGTCGTTACTCCGTCTGTAATTTCCCCCATCGCGTGACAATATTATCTTTATAATATATATTTTTTAAAGTAATAAAATTCTTTTGAACTATTAAAAATAAAGTATGAATTTCATTTTATTTTTGACTAAATAGATTGTGTCAAAGATATAATAATCGTAATTTTTTTTCATAAAAATATCATTACCGTTGTTTATTAAGTAAAATAGATATTCCTTGAACTATAAAAAGAAGAGAAATTATTCAATTTATAATATATGAATTAAATAAATAAATACAAAAACAAGAAAGAGAGGGAGGGAGTTAATTGAAGCAGGGATAAAATGGTAAAATGAGGACATGGGAAAGAAATGGTTACGATGCGAAGATAAGGAGTGAGGTTAATGAAGGAAGTGGGGCCCAGAGAAGCAGTGTTATAAGTGGAGAGCAGTTATGTCGGAGAGTGCCGTATGCTTCTTCCGTATACGGTCCACTCCAACTCTCTTCACTCTTCACACTACTATATCACGCCTTTTCAGGATTTATTACATTACATTAAATAAATCACTTATCTCACCCTAAATAGAGTATTCAAACTACTCAACAATACTCTATTGTGTGCCACATTCTAGTCAAAGTTTTTCAAATTACAACAATCATGATTTTTTTAAAAACTCCTAGATATATTGCTCCTTTATCTGATACATAATAAATGATACTAATACATAACTATAAATCAGATTCATTCTGATTTAGGTTTGATAATTGAAATTTGAAATTATGTATTAACAATAACATGTGTACTAGATACATTATACACAACGAATGCATAATGTATCTTATAGAGATGAAATGATGTATTCCAATGTTAAGAGAGAGAAGGAAAAAGAGATTTTTTGTAACTAATTCAAATAGTAGGAACTTTTAGCGATCATGATGTCTTATGTCACGTAATTACTTAATTTTTGCAAATAAAAAGCTTTTCAATTTTGTGCTCATAAATTAAAATTATATCAAATGTATCAAAATATCGTTTAATTTTGTAGTCTGAAATATTCCACGTAAAAAATTGAAATTAAAATATTGTTAAAAAAGAAAGAAGTTATAGTATTCTTTTTTAAACCAACAAAAAAAATATTCTTTTAAAGCTAATAAATATTAATTTACCTTTATCCTCCTCGTTCACTTTTGTTTATTCATTGTTCGCTTTTGTTTATTCATTTTAGGCTTTGTATGTTTTTTTGAAAAACAATAATTAATAGAAATACTTCATTATAATATTTGTATTAAATTATTAACTAATGTTCAATATTATTTATTAAATTATTAAAAATGACAAGCAAAAGTCCATTCAAAAAACGTCTTAATTCCAAGCCAACTAGCCAAACACAAAAATATACTGCCACACGAAATAATCAATATTAGTATATAATTAACCACCGACAATGTAATTAGAAAGTAGATCAATTTTTACTTGAACATTATCTAGCATTATTATTAAAAGGAAGATAACAAAATTGATTCTTAATTGCCACTTAAATCTCCATATATATGGATAGGGGTGTTCACGGTGGTTTGGATCGGTTATTGGTCAAAACCAAAACCAAACCAACTTAATCGGTTTTAAAATTATCAAAATCAAACCAAACCAAATATAATATACATTTATCGGTTTGGTGATTATCGGTTTCGGTTTGGTTTGGTTATTAAACATACACAAAAATAAAAGAAACAATTCATTTAAAATGTGAAAAAAGTGACAACAATCCATTCAAAACGAAAAATAGTTAGAATGACTTAAATTACTGAACTTTCGATCACTAAATTTACTATCAATAAAGCTTTAAAATTCACTATATTGGCCTAGAAGGAAGAGACAATAACATTTTCAGTCCCACAAAGAATTGACATAGACACTCATATACATGAAATCAATAAGATAAATGTTTCATCTTGGGCATTGAAAACATATATAAGATCTTTAAAATTGTTTATAAAAACAATATATTAAGTATGTATATTAATAAAATATATGTATATAATTCATCGGTTCGGTTCGGTTATTTCTTTGGTTATTTTCAAATGAAACCATAACCAAACCAAATATTATCGGTTTTCAAAAATCCAAAACCAAACCAAACCCAAATAAAATCGGTTTTATTTTATCGATTTGATTTGGTTTTTCGGTTTGGATCGGTTTTTATCCAAACCGTGAACACCCCTATATATGGATATTGATCAGTGATTATTCCTTTTTCCCCCTTTTGAATAATTTGCTTGTGAAACTTATCTACTATAGTAAAAAGGCACTAAGGAAATTAAAGTGATTTAATGACTAGAACATTCTTGATTTAGATTATTACCTTTGTAGAAAGTAGAGGATCAAGCACTTGATAATTGATTTGCCGTGATAGTTTTGGACTTATCTCTGGAATTTGATGTGTTATTATCCCCTAAGTTATAATCAAATCCGTAATTAATTAGTTTTATGATTTTGTTTTGATCTCAAGACCTCTGTCTACTCTGATATCATGTTGAAGTGTGTGATCATCTCATCTAAAAGCTTAAGCGGTTAAAGAAAACACAATGTTTATTATTCAATTATATTCTCAACAATACCAAACTTACTTAAGTAATTTAACGTAATGTGTCAAGATTTTACTAGGTTGAATGTTAATCCACATAAGAAGATCAATAATGATTCTTTTGATTTGATTGACCATTTATATATTTATCAACAATTAATAAGTAAATAAATAACTCTACATATAGCAATTTAAAATTAAAAAATATTATTATTGTTTACATATATTTCGACATTATATAAAGTTTTCATCAATGATCTGTATTCCAGCGAAGCGGACCAAGTGTCATATCCGATTTCCTAATTCTTGTCCGTATAATTATCTGTATAATCAATAATTAATTAACTAATTAATCCCTTTTATTAGATGAAGAATCGTACGGCCAGATCCTCCTAATGGTACTGGTTATGTACTTATTGTCCAATTTAATTCTCGATATTAAACTAATCTGGCATAGGGATAAGAGTTATTTGTCAGTTAACCAAAAAGAGAGTTAATTAATTAATTAATGGTTTAATATTAAGCAAGTGTTAATCAAGAACCCCACACGCATAAGAGAAAGAAAAAACAGTTGGGACAAGCCATGTGAGTAGATGAATACGGTAAAGGTACGGCCTGGTGGTTTTGTCTGGTTATGTAACAGCCATAGGGCCTTACAATATTTATTTGTCCTGTCTAATTAAGAATTTGCCAAATCTTGTGATTAAGGGATTAATTACATAGGGGATTATACATTTAAGTGGAATCAGAAATGAAATATTGGTGGTTGGGACTAGAATAGAATAGGGTGGTGGGACATAAACAAATTTATGAGTGTATTTCTTGTCATTTTAATTGATCGTTAAATCTAAATTTATATTTCATTTTAAAAATATTGAGTTAGATTGAATCGGTGCTTCGAAAATCCTTCACGGGTGGGGGAGTATTCACGTAGTTCCAAGTTTTTGAATGTTGCAGCAACATGGCTTGATGATAGAATGTCACGTGCATTTACCGCCATGTGCTCTAGGTATGGCGCTCCATCTTTTTTCTTATTAAATTTTAACGGAGATGAATTTATGACATAAAGTGAGTGATTTGTGTGATTTCAAAATTTTATATTACAAGCTATTTCTTTTTTTATATTAATAGTTAAAAATATACAAAAGTCATAAGGTGTAGAGATACTCAAGAGTAGGTGTGCACTATTCGGATTAAACCGAATATCCAAATTTTTATTTATATATGAGCACTCTGCACTACAGTCTACACACTTTACACGCGAGAATACTTCTACGTCACATAAGAAATTCCATATTATATATGTTTTGGTTGTAATATGTAATTGTAGCCTTCGTACTACATCTACTCTTATTGATGCAATTTCTCATTATATTTCTTGTTTCACTATATCAAAGCATTTACAACTGATTTGCTTGTCTCACTGTATCGCGACAAATTGTTGGAGAAGTGAGAAGTCATATATTTATTTTATGAGCATTTTCTTATTGGGTAAACCGAAAACTGAATCGTTAATGACCAAAACCCGATAAAGAATATCTTATTGGTTTGTTATTGATTTAGCGTATTTAAAAACCGAAAACCAATAATACATAAAATCGAACGGATGGACACCTTACGACTCACGGATCGACGAGATAGGTTACACAATACCTAATTCAATTGGTATATTAATGAATACGTGAATGATATTTTATTATTTTAATTGAAAGAATTATCTTGAAAGTTACCTATAAAACTTTGAAATACTCTCAAGTAACGTCTAACAATATGAGACCTTTGAAAGAAATCGTACAAATTTTATTCAAATCGGACAGTATCACACTAATGCAACTATACTATACTGTACTTGAGTTGATATAGCCCAACATGCGCGCGCACAATCGGACAGTATCACATGCACCGAAACCGTTAGAAAATCAAATATTATACTATAAAATATGAAGGAGAAAATTATAATTTCTCAGGTTAATTAAAGCAGCTCGTATTTATACATGATTCACGACAAGATTACGGAATTGTGATATAGACAACTTATTTTAATATAAGCATTGGTAATTGATTTCACGGCTCAAATCCAAAACCTATTAATCAGGAGATAACTTTACTGCTCTAAAATTCCCCTTCGCTCAATAACACTTACAATATCATAAGAGCCACACAATAGTACTTACAAAATTACCAGAAAAGTAGATCTGTCCAAACATGTTTTTGCTTTACTGGAACTTGGGTTGAATAATGTTTTTTCTAAAACAAAATTTATGACGTGGTGTTTGTGCTAGCTTTCACGGGAT